ACATATAATGGTTGATCTGGAATGGGATGATGAAGAAGATAATGAGGCAATGAATGCAGAGAATGATGGAGCAGTGAGTGGGGAAGAAGAAGAAGTCATTGAAGAATCAGTTGGTAGTCCTCAAACTGGTGAGAATGGAAGACAATCATCCAGTTCTAATGAAAGAAAAGCTAAATGGCCCCCAGGGTGGATGAGAGATTATGTAAGTGGGGAAGGACTTTCGAAGGAAGAAAATGTTAATTTGGCTTTATTTGCTTCAACAAATCTAGTGCATTTTGAGGAGGCAGTGAAGCATGACCACTGGAGGTTAGCTATGGACATGGAGATGAAGGCTATAGAGAAACAACACATGGGAACTCACAGATCTGCCTACAGGTGCAAAAAAGATTGGAGTGATGTGGGTCTATAAAACCAAACTCAAGGAGAATGGAGAAGTGGACAAGTTCAAGGCTCGTTTGGTGGCCAAGGGGTATGTGGAACAACAAGGGATATACTACACAATAGTGTTTGCACCGGTTGCGAGAATGAATACAGTGAGAATGATTGTGGCTCTAGCAGCTCAGAAAGGATGGACTCTCTATCAACTTGATGTCAAATCCGTCTTCCTGCATTGGGAACTTAATAAAGAAGTGTACATGGAGCAGCCTAAGGGTTATGAGTTGAAGAACAATCCTCAGAAAGTATACAGGTTGAAAAAAGCCCTCTATGGACTAAAACAATCCCCAAGAGCTTGGTTCAGTTGTATTGAAGCACATTTCATAAGTGAAGGGTTCAAGAAATGTTATAGTGAACATACTTTGTCCACTAAAACAAGTAAGGGAGGAAAGATTCTCATTGTTAGTTTATATGTAGATGATTTAATATTTACTAGCAATGATGAATTGATGTTTGCTAAGTTTAAGAATTCCATGTTGATGGAGTTTGATATGACCGATTTGAGGAGAATGAGGTTTTTTCTTGGCATAGAAGTATTGCAGAGGTGGGATGAGATTTATATTTGCTAGAGAAAGTATGCTTTGGAGGTATTGAAGAGGTTTAGGATGGAGAATAGCAACTCGGTTCATAATCCCATTGTTCCAGGTTGTAAACTTTTTAAAGATGAGAATGGGGTTGGTGCTGATGAGACTTTATTTAAACAAATGGTGGGATGCATCATATACTTAACAGCTACGAGGTCGGACTTGATGTTTGCAGTAAGCTTGATTAGCAGGTACATGGCTAAACCAACTGAGTTGCACTTGTTGGCAGCCAAGAGGATACCGAAGTACTTGAAAGGAACCACTCGACTTGGAGTTTTTTACAAGGGAGGGTGTGAAGGTCTGGTTGGTTACGCAGATAGCGACTATGCAGGAGATCTAGAAGACAGGAAAAAGCACATCAGGCTATGTCTTCATGTCGGGATCTGGAGTTGTTGCCTAGTCCTTAAGAAAACAACCTATAGTCACACTTTTAACCACTGAAGCAGAGTTTGTGGCTGCAACTGCTTGTGCTAGCCAAGTTGTTTGGATGAAGAGGATACTTCACAAACTGAGTCTGGAGAAAAGTAAGTGTACTACAATCCTTTGTGATAATAGTTCCACAATTAAATTATCAAAAAAACCCTGTGTTACATGGTTGAAGCAAGCACATTGATGTGCGCTTCCACTTTCTTCGTGATCTCACACGAGAAGGAGTAGTTGAGTTGGTTTATTGTGGAACACAAGATCGGCTGGCAGATATAATGACAAAGCCCCGCACATTGGATGTGTTTCAGAGGTCTCAGAGTCAGTTGGGAGTTTGCCAAGTTCCTGAATTAAACTAGTTGCAGTTGGGAACTAGTTTAAGGGAGGGAATGAAGAGAAAGTTTAGGTTTCTGTTAGGAATTCTAGTATTCAGTTTGAATAAGCCCTAGTCTTTAGGATATTTGTTTGGTGTTTCTTGACTTCTTCTAGTTGCATTTATCACGTTGATTAGTTGTAAACGTGAGCTAATTTTTTTCATTCTGTTAAGATTGTAGAGGGCTATTTATAAGCCTAGATTGTTCAATAAGAATGTAGTCATTCCCAAAATTGTTGTGCACTCGGTTTTTTTGTGTTTCAATTCTTAACAGGTTCAACCAAATGTTTAAGAAGACATTAGTCGGACCAATATTTTATGTGAATTTTTAAATAAAAATGTAATTCAGTAGTCTGATCTAAAAGTGTTGTGCATAAAAAGTGACGTTTTTAAAATTAGAAAATATTTTGAAAATAATTTGTTTTGGGTTTATTTTTTAAAAATTCCATGGGTTGGGTAAAACCGTAAAAGCTCCCCACGTAACAACGATGCCCTATTCTGCTAGAACACACCAACTGCCATGCCACCTTGAAGCCACAAAGCACAAATACGCCATCACCTATATCAAAACCACTGATTGCTGCCACCATCTTCAGCAAATTTCACCACCAAACCTCCTACCCCTTCTCCTCCAATGACCTAGATACCCTACCACTGCCTAGGTCAAAATCCACAGAAGAACCCAACATTGGATCCTCAATAGCCACGTCACGTGCGATCGAGAACCCAAATCTATGGGATAAATATCGTTGATGGTGGTGGTCTAGCAGGAGGGAGAGGGAGGTAGAGAGAGAGAGACGCTGCCACAACCACCACTCTCCTCCAAAAATACAAATCACTGCCACCATCAATCATAACCATTTACCACCCCTGTAAACCCACAAGTCCCTCAACCCATTCCCGTTGTAAGCCGCAACTCCTCCAACCCACTCCATCTAAACCCACCAGATCAAAAGACACCTCCACCTTCAAATTTGTAAATGGAAAATGAATCTGACCATATTTACAGATTCAAAATGAGTTTGATGAGATTTGTAGACCTTTTGGGGCTTTTTCGGATATGAGATTTTCGGATTTTAGGGCTCTTCATGCTCATCGAACCATTTGGTGGCCTGCCGGTCTGGCAGTCTCTCTCTCATATGCGAAATTGAGCGTGCGAGGAAGATGGTGTTGGTGGTTTGTGAAGGACGTATATGTTTTAGGTGGGTTGTGGGTTCGAGTTTGAGTTGGATTTATTTTTATTTTTATTTTTTGTTAAAGGGTAAAATAGTCATGTTATCGTTTCTGTTGGGTCAGTTAGTTTACTATTATTAGCAAGGGATGTCAATGTATTTTTTAATACTCAAGGGGGCTATTTGATTAAATGATAAATTTTAAGGAGTTTGAATGTAATTTATTCTAATTTAAAATAAACAAATTAAGAAAAATGTTATGCAACTCAAATAAAAATTCAAAATATGTAATCCAAATGTATGTAGTTCAAAAAATGTAACTCAAATGCATGTAATATTGGATCAATGAGTTTCATTAAAAAAAATTAAGGAAAAATTACATTCAAATTCTTTTAGATTTGTCATTTAATCACTCAGATCTCCAGATATTTGAAATATTACACACAAACTTTCTAAAATTTATACGTCTATAACACTCAGACCTCTGTCTTTAATGTTTATTAATATATCCATTAATAAATTATACTCAGATCCCGTGAAATTTATAGTCATATAATATTTAGACCATTTAATTTTAAAATATTATATTTAGACAAAAAAAAACTTCAATCAAAGATAAAATATCAAATATTTTAAATTTTACAACTAAAATTCATGTTCTATTATGACATTTATTAATATAAAATTAAAAATAAAAATTTAATTTTCTCTTAAAAATTATAATTAATATAAAATTATACTATTTATTAGAATTTAATTTGGTCGTTTAAATGACCAAATTAAAATACGAAATTACCCCAATTAAAACTAGAAGATTTTATGACAATTATAGTTTGACCCCTTGTTTAAATTTTTAATTTTATTCTAATAGATAGTATAATTGTATACTAATTATGATTTTTTAAGAAAAAATAATATTTTTATTTTGATTTATTTTAATAGATGACATAAAAGAACATGAATTTTAGTTGTAAAATTCATGTTCTATTATGCATGACTTAGATCTCTTGTTTGATTTTTTAGTTTTATTCCAATAGATAGTATAATATTTTAATTCTAATTTTTTAAGAAAAAATTAGATTGTTATTTTTTATTTTATTTTATTTTAATAAATGATACAATAGAATATAATTTTTAGTTGTAAAATTTAAAATATTTGATATTTTATCTTTAATTAAAATATTTTTCGTCTAAGTATAATATTTTAAATTTGAAGGATTTAAATATTATGTGCTTATAAATTTTAAGGGATTTGAGTGTAATTTATTAACAGACATTTGACGGAGGGGTCTAAATGTTACGATGTATAAATTTTAAGAGATCTGTATGTAATATTTTAAATATTAAGAAATATAGGTGTAATTCTTTTAAAAATTAATAAAATTCACTTATTTAAAAACCTATATAATAAAACACTTAAGAGTTTGAATTTTTATCTAAAATACATTTTTCTACCTAAAACTATCTCATCACCTAATTCTATTACATGTTTAATTATTTAATATTTAATTAACTTGTAGTTTAACATAATTATTGTTTCATACATTGTCCATACACGATAATGTACACATATTAAAAAAAAATTTATCGAATTATACATTTTGATAAAATTTTGATGTTATTTTTTAAAAAATAATAAATATAAATTAATTTTAAATGATATAATTAAAAAAAAGATATTATTTAATATAATAAAATTAATTTTTTAAACGATCAAATTTTATTTTTTATTGTACATTTTGTATGCATTTGGTTTTGTGTATTGTATGGGTTTTGGTTTGGTAAGAGAATATAGCGACGTGGCTGTTGAAGGTCGGTTCGTGTGTCTGGCGCAAGCTAATAACCTCCCACTCCCCAATTTTTTACATCGCAGGCGCAAGCGAATTGTGAACGAAGACTTTTCTTCAAATCGAAGAGTCTGTCTTCCACAAATCCACCATTTTCAATCGAAGAACGCTGTTTTCCCTTGCGATTTGAAGTGGCGGACAAACAATGTTTTGAAAGGAGGAAGCTATGTCATCGTCAAGATCGTTGATTCGTCGTCTCGTTCCAATTTTCACGGCTCGGATTCGACAGAACCAGAGGCTTTTGAGCTCTTCGTCCGCTGCCGCCCTTACTCAACACCAATCCTCTTCTGAATCTACGTCTTTCGATGAGGTTCAGCTGACCGATAATTGCGTCCGGGTACTCCTCTCTCTCTCTCTCTCTCTCTCTCTCTCTCTCTCTCTCTCTCTATGTACAAATCCAAACTATTTGGGATTGTGTGTTTGTTTACTGGTTTAAAGTTTTCAATTTTAGGTTTTTTACTCGATGAAACAGCATAAGTATGCGAAACATAATTAAAACTCTATCTGGATTGCTTGTGTGTTTGTGTGTGTGTGTGTGTGCGCTCGCGCTAAGATCTTGATAGATTGAAACTGGCGTTTGTAACTGGAAAGTGGAAAGAGGACTGGGTTGAATGGTAATTTCCAATTCTTCGGAAATTTTTGTGGGCATCTGGAAAGAAATGTGTAGACCAAATTTAAGATTGCATGGTTTGAAAAAAAAAATATGCACAAACCCTATGCTGCTTCACGTGATTTCAATCCCTAGTTTTGTTGTCAATTGATTTTCTTTATATATTGGTACTTTTTAGTTTGATGATAGTTCCTTTTTATTTTCCTCCATAACTTTTCACGGGTTTTAATTTTGGTAAATAACTTCATGCAGCTTGATGTGGCTGAATTCTGTGATAAAAATGTGTTCTGTGAAATTTGAATATTGGCATATGAACTCCTTCAGGTTGTAGTGTTAGATAACAGTAATTTGATTGCATTTCGTCTCATCTCATGAATACCTTACAGAGAATGAAAGAGTTGCAAGTGGATGAAGCAAAGGGAAAAATGTTGCGATTGAGTATAGAAGCCGGTGGATGTTCTGGGTTCCAGTACACCTTCTTACTCGACGATAAAATCAATGCAGATGACAGGTTCTCTTTCATGTTTTACAATTGGGATGGAGTTTTTTCAGAGTTCTTATTTTTAGATCGGCAAAAATTCTGAGATCTTATTTGTATTCTTCACTGTTATGTAGGATTTTTGAGAGGGATGGAGTTAAATTGTTGGTCGATAAAATTTCATTTGACTTTGTGAAAGGTGCTACTATTGATTATGTTGAGGAGCTGATCCGTTCAGCTTTCCAGGTAAGTGACCAGAGTCTTGTACACTTTAGGTTTCCCATCATAACATATCGAGTTTTGAAAGAAGATTTTCCCTTGTAATGAACTTGATCAGTGGTTTGATTGTGGACAAATGCACCTTGTAGTGGGTTATCTTACTTGGTTTTATTCTTGTAGAATTAAAATTTATATGCAATTCAAAATGTTTCGATGAAACTGCTCAATGATTCTTGTTGCTGTTGAGGATTAATTTGGGCTTCACCTAAACAAGCTCTCCGGTCCATATCGGTTGCTAGTCAAATTTCTCTTATTCTGTCACTAAATATGAAAATCCTCAAATGCATGGGATTCATAACCGGAACTTGAAGTAATACCCAACCATCAATTATTTGACAGGATACCCCATACTATCCTATTATTTTCCTTATTAAAGATATATTGAGAGGGTTCAAAATTTCACTTGGTCAAAATCATCTAGCTTTTTATTTGTGAAATCTTAAATGGTGGATTGTCAGAGAGTTACTTTGTTCCTTGTATTTCTTATTTGAATGCTTTGCTATAACCATTTTTAATTGTTGATGACTCCGTCAGAAAGGTTTAGGATCAAACTGTATTTCTGTTACATATGAAATTGTCAAGATTTACTTAAACATTAGAGAAGCAATAGTTAACTGTTGCAATAACAAAGTCCCAGCTTAAAAAATATTATTCCAAGTTGATGTAATATGTTGCTTAATGACCTTATATAGTGCCCCATTGTTGTCATAATGATTGTGAATATGGCTTCATTTGTTTTTTATCTTGGAGGACTGTAAGAAGAGATATAGTTCGTATCATGCTCTCGTTTGTGTTATCTACAAGTTGGAGCTTATGGGCATATGCTTCATATGACCTAATGGCATGCATCTCACTTTTGCATGGTTTTTCTGCTTGTGATATGTAGCATGATGTTCCTATTTAGTAACCAATCATATGAAAGAACTTGTGAAAATAGCTTCATCTAATTATTATCTCTGAGGTGAATAAGAATAGCTCTAGTAAATCCATGTGAAGCAATATGAATAACTTTTAAAAATACCAGACCAGTTGTTGTAATTATGTTCTTGTCTGTGTTATCTTCAACTGAGACTACAAATGGATGCTTCCTATGACCTGATGGGTTGCATTGCATCTCACTCTTGCATGGCTTTTTGGCTTGCGATTTTTGGTGCCAGTTCTTTATAGGTTGAATTTGTGGCACTCTCAACCTGAACTCTGCATTGGGGGGTGCTCCTGTTTCATGTGCAGGTAGCTGCAAATCCAAGTGCTGTTGGTGGATGCAGCTGTAAAAGCTCCTTTATGGTCAAATAATAGTTGCCGCAGATATGCCAACCAGATACCTTCTTCATACATCCAGCGTAGTTAAGAGTTCAATTGCTCATCCACCAACACCTGCATTAGTGTTATTGGTATAAAGATTTTGGCTGAATAGCCTGTTATGCTGATTGATTGTACTACTACAATATGACAATAGTATCTCACGTTGTAATAACTTATTCTTTCACCTAAAATTCATGCTTGAAAAAGTTTTTCAATTTTGTAACACTTGTACAATGATTGAGAATTCACATGGACATTCTTATGGCTCTTTTATCATCAATGTATTGCACAACTAATACTTGGGATGTGGTGGATGGAGCGACTTTGAAGGGCGGGAAGTACCATTTATCACTTTCAGACCTCATTGTAGGTGGAAGGGTACTTTGGAAAGTACAGTTTCTCTCTTTCAGACCTCATTTTAGGTGGTAGGTCACTGGGTAAGGTTGTTAAATGTATTGGATTGGATCATTTCGTGATGTATTAATTTTGAATGTGTGTTGAAAATCTCAAAGTTCAAACTTCATATGTTAAATAATTGTGTCAAAATGTATGCCATAGGGTATGACTTTTGTAGTAACTTAGTTGATCTTCGCTTGATGCATTGGCATTGGAAACGCATTCCCTAACAATCATTCAGGCAAGTGAATGACATCAGCTCATCGTAGCATTTCACAGGAGCTTGTTCAACTACTCCCAAAGAATAAGCATACAGAGAAGAAAAGATAGCTTTATTTGGATGTGCTTTCATTTAGTACCACTTGCAATGAGTCATACAGAGAATCAGAATCAATTTAGTACCACTTTCTTTTAGTACCAATTTAGTACCACTGGATGTGCTTTCATTTGGGCTTATGTACCAGAATCAAACAGAGAACCAGTGAAGCCCTCAAATTTAATGAAAATTGAGGAATCAAATTCTTCCATGACTCAATCATCGTACAACCAGACCATATAATTCGGAACAAATAAAAAGATTATAGCAAGGTCAAACTGTTTTCAAGGATGCTAACTCTATGATGGTGGACTCAAATCTGCCTCTAAAATCTAGTGATGTGAACGAAATGTAACTAGCAGCAAATGGTTCTCTCCAACGGCCTGCTAGCCACTACAAAGGTCAAACACATGACATGGTTATACTTCCATTGTCGTCACCAGAGAAATGGTATCATCATCCACCACCACCCATCTAACTGCAGATTTAAGTTACAGAAACCGTAGAGGGCAAACAACAAAACAAATACAGGAAGACCGCCACATTTTCTAAAATTAAGATCACATAATTGCTCAGTTCAAAACAGACTCTCAAAGAAATGGGAAAAGCAAAAAAGGCTGAAGCACGCTCGGAAAACTGTATGTATTGTCCATTCTACTGTGGCTACACGGCCCAGAATAAGTAAGCAAACTTCTTAGAAAATACGCACTGGCCTGCCCATGGTGCTCTTCAAATATAAACACCTCACCTGATCACATGAACAAAACAAAAACACGAGATCAGAAAAAATGACCAAGTTTTTTGAGTGATGAAGAACCCAAAATAGGTATGCAAAAAGGAATGTCAGAATCATACATGATGGCCATTATTATTAGATTAGGGTCGATCAGCACAAACAATACAAGAATGCAAATGCAGTGGTAACAATACCATAAGACAAGCATATATGGTTTACTTTGATAAAAAAAGGTACATTCCCATGAGCAAATTCATAGATGCACTTAATTTATGTAACAAGCTAAATTGCCTACTGAAATTTTAATGGCTAGGGTATGCATTTTTGGCAACAATCAATTCAATCCTTTACCAGGTATCTCCTGGTGCCATTATTTAGGTGGATGTTACATGTAGTAGTCCCCCTTTTGTCTATGAAAAGATGGTTTAACAATCCACGGTTTGTAGAATATCAAAGAATAATGACTCGTACGAGAAGAGAGTTCCATTATTGGCCACAAAAAAGAGACAGAATGATACAACCATCCAAAATGGGGACCACTTGCCCAGGGAAAAAAATATAACATCAAACTTCTGGGCAAAATGCAAAAACAAAGTGACAAGCATTCGCAATGCCACATTATGTTCAGTCCACTGAAATTTTAAAATTTGACAGGATTTATTAGAAAACCTATGAAACTTTGGATTTTTGTTACAATTGACCTCACAATTCTCTAGAAAATTAACAGATGGCAATCGATTTCCATACTGTAAAATGATGAAATAGTTTTATAGATAGTGAAACAGGTGCACAAATGAACTAAAAAATGTTGATTTAGTAGTTTCAGGAAACTAAATTGTTTGGCTTCGTTTCAAGTGGGAAGAAAAAGGGAGAAAAGGGATCTAATTATTTTTGAAAGAAAACTAGTGTTCTTTTTCATGAATTCCTTTTTTCACGCTATCAGCTATAGATTGTTTTCATCGAATGAAAATGTTGGAAACTAACTTACATTTTGCCAATTCTTCTTCAATAATGAAACAAGAAAGTTCACGCTCATTTGAACATTCTGGAATATCTGCTTCTCCTCCATGCTACAATTCCCCACAGCAACTCCCATACAAAGAACCTTCTTAAGTTGAAACTTCACTGTGGCTTTTGTTTCATTAACTTTTGACTCCAAGGATTCTTGATGAGTCACCAGGGTCGGGAATTTGCCTGCATTTGCATATTAAGTAGTGTAAATGTGCCATGGAATGAACTGTTTCAATCATACGAAGTTCATAATGTCCTGCTTGGTGTCATGAAAAAATAAAAAAGATCTTATCATCAAATCAAGCCAATCTTTTTAACAAAAGGACCCTGGAGAAAGTAGCTCAAAAGATGTGCTTGATGAGAAAAATGAATTTAAAGAGACATTGAAAAATGCCATCTCTACAAGGTTAGGGAAAAGTCAGCAATGTCGTTGGATTCACCCAAAAGAAAAAAATCCTACAAAGTAAAGAATATCAAAAGTTCGACGCCAGCCAGGGACCAGGACCGGGGTAGACAGTTAACAATTATATTTATTGATGGCTTTTGCTGCATATTTCCATTCTCTACATCAAGTAGTAACTATCCCGAAGGATCCCCTGGTTAGACAAAAATGCATTCATTCACTTCAATACCCACAATTAAAGAAACATCAACCAGAAAAGGTAGCAGAACGAATTTCAAATTTAATCAGCTGCTTTTCACCATTAACAAATGACAGAATCAAAAGATCATATAAGGCCTCAATTATCAATTAAGAAAAATATGTTCATTGAACATGATGCCAGTTATGACATTCTCTTCAAAAGCATAAAGATAATGCAAACGCATACGCAAATGCATAGTTCAGACAAACCCCACTATATCTACTCAAATTATTGAAATAATCCCTACTATCAGTCCATTGGAGAAGATATTAATCCAAATAAAAACGTTATGGATATAAGATTCTTAGGGAAAAGTAGTACTCATGATAAATCAGAAGTACTTGCCTGCCTTATTGAGACCAGGACCCAAAAGACGAGGGATCTGCTTGATCACAGCTTCAGATGCTAGGAAAGCATGGTACTTCTTGGCAAGCTTCTTGACCAATTTCTTGTTTTTGTTGAGCTTCTTCAACCCTTCCACATCCATATATTCAAGTCCAATCTTCTCTGCCTGCCATCAAACAGTAAAGGTCACATCAAACTGGAGTAAAAGGCCATGTCCATCCTCTCTCTGTTTTTGTCGCTAAATTAAATGGACGATGTAAAAAAAAACAAAAAGAATGCAGCAACTATCTAATTGACGAATTATATCTGCATATAAAATGACGCCCAAAGAAAGAGATGACCAAATGACCCAACAGAGTGGAAAAAAACAGACACAATTACAATTCAATGTCAGATAGAATATGCTGAGAAACAAATGCAAACACTGATCCCAAAGACATTGTACTAATAGCAACTCAAGTACCGAAAATAAAGTAAGTTTGAAGCTGATTAAGGCGAAGGGGTAAGGCTTACAGATTAGAATCCAATAAGAACAAAAAGAATAAGATATCAAATTCCTGCCAAACATAAGTATATATAGATATCAATACACTTAAATGTTTTCGTAATGGCCAATCCCAGAAAGTAATTGCAGAGATTCTGTTCCCCAAGATGATAGGATATGTAAATGCTCCATTAAAAGCAGGATTATCCCTGTTAAGACAGTCTACACTGCAGTATCATCAAAAAGGGCATGATACATGATGATTTATCATTGACTTTTAGACAAATTGACAAGTTCGCCAGTGTAAATCGTCGCTGGAAATTGAAAAGCATTAAGGGCTGAGTACTCCCATTTTGTTCACATTAGTGTCACGAAAAGATTAAATCTACCTCTTCCACGTGTTGAGCATCTCCAAGCATGCAAACCTTCATCTTGGGACGAGGTATGTGTGGCAATTTCACAGAACCACTGAAACGCTTGTCTTTCTGGGGATCATAGTTCTTCAATCCAATCTGAAGCTCAATGGTTTCAGAAAAGTTACGCTTTTTCTCCTTTGCTTCACTAGAAATCTGGGAAATGGCTTCTCTGACAGCGTCACTTTGTAGCTTACTGGAAAAAAAACCAATGCAGACAGTGAGATGCAAAAGAGCCAAATACGTTGACAAAACTTCATATAATATAACATCACAAAAAGGATTCAAGGAGGCCACTTTGTAGGTGCATAACAAATCAGCATACCAGAAGATGCACTTGTTAATATGAAAAAGTGTAAGAGGTTAAAATAAAGCAACCCCGCGAGATGCACTTAAATTTGTTCTATCAAATCTTGGAGGAAGACACAACAAACAAGAAGAGCCTCAAAGAGCTGCACCTATGTTGTAAGTTCTAAACCAAAAGTTAAGACTTGGGACTTGGGAGATTAAGCTGTTCGGATGATAATATCAATGTACAATCCTCACTTTGCTTAAATGCCTTTTTGGGACAAGTACGTCTTTCAGAGGCATCACTATCCCTCACTCACTGCAATTCATTATTCATGAAACTCTAACAGTCCTACCAAAATGGCAACATTTGAAAACCACTGACAATTCATCATTCATGTAAACTTTGCAACAATTGAAAATGGCCAAAACCAGGTGGAGTTATGAACAGGAAACATTATATATGCCCAAATAAAGTGCGAAAACTAATATGAGCCTCTTAGATACACTAATTTATCAGGAGTTATGGTTTATAAGCCTCTTAGATAACCTATCGAGTCTGGCATACTTACTTTCAAATACACCTTGTCAGTGCACATATATCACTACTTATAAATCATTAATTCCACTAGTGCTGAGCTTATCAGGAGGGTTTATCCTTACTGTATTTTATATAATGTCCGAATATCTTCAAGATTAACACACACACACATCTGATCAATATTCTTTATAGAACGTGAGAATTGACTTATCTCCATTATACAGTGACATTCAAGCAACAAATAAGAAATGAATCTATAAATATATCTAAAAGACGTACCTCATATTGAAAGATTTATCGTCTCTACAGTTTCTCTTTAGATATTCTGTACACAAAAATCCAATAGATTTATCACTACAACGGCCAAACAAAATATCAGTGAACTGAACAAATGAAATTACAAGCCTGATCTGCAAACTGAAATCAAATACTTCCGCAGAAATGAGAACTCCAGACAATAAGATGTGTGATTGAGAGACAGAGGCAAACCTCAATGGGAGTGCTGAGGACTGCAGCCGAGCAACACTGGAACGAAACAGTGGTAAACTTAAAAACCCTAGACACGTCTGGCAGGATTTATCACACGAGTCTATACTAGTTGTCAAATGTCTAGTTTAGCCTCATCTATATTCGGAAATAAACTTATTACTACTTTTTAATTATTTTTTTAATATTTTCTAAACTCCCCGGTTGCCGGCGTAGGTTTAGGGGTGTAATTCAGGCGGATTGGACAGTCAACCCTAGTTCAACCCTCACTCTACTTCGGGTTGAGTGAGCACTATCTGAGTTTAATTCAGGTAGACTCGGATTGAATTCGGGTTAATAATTTTGAACTGATTTCGAGTTATTTTACAGGTTCAATTCGGATAAAACGCAAAATAGGTTTTTTGTTCTAAACCTAATACATATATTATATAATATTCACATAAATTAACAATCAATAACTTTAACTAAGTTTTTAACATAAAAATCATTGCCACCAATCCACTACGAGAGAGAGATTGAGAGAGGGGGGAATAATTATAAATTCATAAAACATAATCCATATATTTTTCATTCATAACAGTGCATGATTATTGATCATCTTCTTTCACACCAAAAATAAAAAATCAGTGTTAATATTTTATATATATATATATATATATAATTTTATTTTTTTAATTTGTTGAGTTCGAGTTGAACCCGTGAATCCAAGGTCTTAACCCGAGCCCAACCCAAATTGAATTCGAGTTAGAATTTTTTGACCCAAGTCCAACCCAAGTATTAAAAACTCTTACCCAAACCCTAATTTTTTTGAATTGGCTCGAGTTGCCCAACCAAAATTGCACCCCTGCGTAAGTTAGTTTGATGGTGCTAGAGACACAATTTTTGGCCTTGTGTGTCCATAACTCAAAATTGGTGACCTAATGGTCACGGCTCGACCAAACATACTAATAATCACTAGATTCATATGAGCTATTGAAGAGTAAAACAATGATAATCTTAAGATCGATTTTTCTTAAAGTGTCACTCCATCGCGAGAGCGGGATATTAACAAGGTGTTTTCGTTGAGCAGAAAATAACGATTAACTCTTTTTTTAATCTTAATCACGAGTATAATAACAATAAAAATATAAATGAATTGAAAAATATTATTTATACGCCCAAATATCGAGATTCTTTTTTGTAAAATAATAATTAAATATTTTTTATTTTTTTGATAAATTTCTACTTCAAAAATGCTTACAAGACAATACTTTATTGTGGACAATGAATATTGTATCATTGCTACATAGATAACTACATCAGAAGTTAACTTATGAAAATGTTTTAGGAGGAATGTGGTTTGGTGAGCCAAAAAGAGTTTTATTCTTGGAAAGATATCATGTAGGACCCAATTGTGATGTCGTGCCAAAGATGTGCTTGTGGATATCTTCTTCTGGCTATTCGGTGTATCATAAGAAGAGAAAAGGATAAACAAATTGAGGATCTTTTCCATTGGGACACACTAGTGAGGATCTTTTCCATTGGGAATTCTCTTGATCCATGCCCAAAGACTTAAAAGGAACTCTCTCTCTCTCTCTCCTCTCTCTCTCTCCGATAGTGACTTATATGTTCCAATTTAGCTCACCGGCACCTATACTAGTTTTTCCGAATTTTGTACTAGATATAATAAATTCAACTTAATTGAGTGTTCTAGAAATCAGTTGAAGTTGTATACTACATATCGTTTGTAAAGTTGAACCCTAACGAGCATCTATATTTGAAGCATTCCCTCCCTAGTTAATATTAAATTTTCTTAATTTTGAATTATTTAATAAAAATGTGGTTGTTCCTTCAATTAAACTCTTACATGTGACCTATATAACCACTCCCACTATTTTTTGATAATTATTTGACATTTGAATTTCTCACTATCTTTATTAACTCTTTCTCTTTTAAATATTTTAAAGAATTAATTTGGCAAATGAATGACTAATTTTTCAATAATGTTATGCTCCGTTTGGTAGGAAAGATGGAAAGTAAAAAAGATGAAAAGTATGAATGATACATTTTCCTTCATTTGTGTTTGATTGGATGAATGGAAAATAAAAATGATCAATTTTTTTTTGTGTTGGCTAAAATTAGGGGTGAAAATCGAGTCGTGTCGTGTTAGATTTGTGTTGAGTTATACAATTATGAGCCTTTTATATTTGTTGTTCGTCTCTCAAGTCATTTTTAAATTCGTATCGAGTTATAATCAAGTTCGTGTCATAAAATTCGTGTCGGGTCAAGTCATGTTGTGTCATCGTGTTGAGTCGAAAATTTTCACCTCTAGTTAAGATGAAAAAATATTTTTTTAATTATATATATATATAAAGATATATCTATATAACAAAGTAGAATGATTTTGAATTTAAGAGACAAATAGTGGCTCAGATCATTTCGAGATCAAAAAAAGCATCATCCAACGGCTGAAGATATTTCAAACTGTCTCAAGTTATTGACGTATCAGATTGTTTCGATCCGACATACCATATTAGCTCTTAAAAAAATTTTGCCGCTCAAAACTTTTAGTTTCCAAAACTGACATCCCTAAATTTAATTCTTCAACCCCAATCAAATTCGGCAATTAAACGATCTCTCATTCCTCAACTTTATCTCACTCTCTCTCTCTAAAATACAAATTACAATTGTTATTATTATTTCCTTGATTTTATTTCTTATACTAACACATTGACTATCCCTCACACTCTCATCTTTCATGATTGTCTTTCCAAATTGAGACATATGTCTCTCCAAAATTTCATCCTAATGCAACTGCTCTCCATCTTTACTATTCATATCACACACACATCTTTACTGTATATATATATATATATATATATAGTACAAAAATCAAAGACATACTATATCTACATGTTATATCTTAAAAAATATTTTCATCTAAACACCATGTAATTGAGTCTAAATTCAATGACAACCCTTATAACAATAATTTTTGTATCTGTAAATAGATTAAAATGTCATCAATTTTTTCTCCATTACATATGCGCTAGCCTCTTTTATGAAAATTACTCTAATTTCTCTGTTGTCATATGTCCTCCACAACGTCGCCCAACCGCTCTTCACATATCATTTTTCATATATAAAATTTAAAATTATTTAATAAAATTTAATATTAATTGAAAAATTTTGATCTTAATTTTGATAAATTTAAATATTAATTTAGTATTAAATTTGATTGAATTTAATGTTAATTGAATAAATTTGAATGTTGTTTTAATAAAACTAAATGTTCATTTGGTGTTAAATTAAAGAAATGACATTAATTTGAAAAGGTTAAATTTTAAATTAATGAAATTTAATATTCCATTTAATAAATTAAATAGTTTAATTTAATAAAATTGAATTTCAATTTGATGTTGATTTGATAAAAATAAATAATAATTTAATATTAAATTAAAGAAATAATATTAATTGTAGCAATGAAATATTAAATTAATAAAACTAAATGCTAATTTGATAAAATTAAATATCAATTTTGTGTTGATTTGATGAGATGGAATGTTAATTTAGTTTAAATTAAATAAAAAAAATTAATTTGATAAAATTGAATATTAAATTGATCAAAATAAAGGCTAATATAATAGAACTAAAAGAGAGTGTATTGAAATTTCAGAATCAATAAGAGGTATTGTTAAAGTTATGTCTATTTACAAGGGGTATTGTTAAAAATTATATTTATTTATAAGGGATGTGGATAAAATTTACCTTGTAAAATACTCGAGGATATTTTTATAAATCAACAATCACCATTAACGGTATAGCCTGACAATCACTAACAGAGAATGACTGTGAAATTTCAAAATCGAAAGAGGTCTCATTGAATTTAGACCTAACTATAGGAGATCTAAATGAAATTTTCCCTTATATCTATACAAATCTATATGATAAAACACATATGAAGTTGAATTTTATCACTTATACATTTCCCCACCCCAAAACCATCATATTACTCATTTTTATCGCATGCTCAACCATTTACTATTTATTAATTTGTAATTTAACATAATTTTTATTTCAAATATTATTCATATACGATAGTATAAATCTGTTAAAAAATTTATCGAATTACATATTTTGAAAAAATTTGTCAATATCTTTAAGAAAATAATTGATAAAAATAAATTTTGAATGATTTAATCAAACAAATTAAAGAAAGAAAAAATAATATTTAATATAGTCATATCGATTTTTTAGGACTCGAATTTTTTGTTCTATCGTACTTTCAGGCACGGGTTATGACTAGTAGACAAATAAGATACATCTTAACACAAATAATTAATTTTTTATTCACTTTTCATCTAATTTTAGAGGGATTAATTTTGGTAAGTCGGAGGAAAAGTAAATTCATCCATTTTTCATCCTTCCTATTTTATTTTTTTACCAAACATAATATTTTATTTATTTTTCTAACTTTTTTTCGTTTCAATTTTTCGTTCTCCCGCTTTTCTATTTTTCCAAACGAGCCATTAGAGTAGATGTGGATTGGGCTGTAAAAGTGAATGAGGTGAAATTGCACGTTCCGTGCATTGCAGGTGGCGCCCACTAGTATTTTTTTTTAGCATAAATTTCATTGATGCTCGCTGGATTTATATCATATTTTATTGACACCCCTTCTAATTTTTAAAATATCACTGCATACCCAGTCAATGTTTGTCCATTAAAAGACTTAGCAGAGAGGGTAATTGCTCTCATGAAAACTCCCATTTTATAGGGATGCTATTCAAATTTACCTTTGCATAATTATCCTTATATTTGATTTTACATAATTACCCTTACCAAACACACATATTTCAATTATTAACATAATTGCATCAAATTAATATATAATTTCATCAAATCAAAATCAAACTGACCTTTAATTTAATTTTATCAAATTCATATTCAATTTATCCAATTAATATTCAACTCCATCAAATTAGCACTAAATTAATCATAAATTTTATCAAATTAACATTACTTTTTTGTCAAATTGATATTCATATTTATCAAATTAGCATTCAATTCATCTAATTAATATTCAATTTTATTAAACTAACCCCAAATTAATATTCAATTTCATAAAATCAATGAGAAGTTAAAATAAAATTTTACTAAATGCACATGAAACGTCATCAAATTAATCAAATTAACACTAAATTAACTGTCCTTATTAGTTAAACATTTAGTTTTATCAAATCATCATTTTATTCCAACAAATTAACATTCAATCTCATCAAAATTGATATTCAATTTTATCAAATTTAAAATTTAATTCCATCAAATTAACATCAAATTAATCTTTAATTCTATCATATTTAAATTTAATTTTATCAATTTAATATTATATTTATCAAATTAACGTCATTTTTAAATTTAACCCCAAATTAACATTCAATTACATCAAATCAATACTAAATTGTTATTCAATTTGATAAAATTAACATTAAATTTCATGAGCGAAACATTTAATTAACATTAAATTCATGAACGAAACATTTAATTTTACTAAATTAATATCATTTCTTCAATTTTACACCAAATTCACTTTTAATTCTATAAAATTAACATTTATTTTTTTCCAATTAGCATTTAATTTTATCAAATTAATATTAATTTTTAAAATTAATATTAAATTAACATTCAATTTTATCAAATTAGCAATCAATTTAATCCAATTAATATTTAATCAAATCAAATTAATATCAAATGGACATTGGCAGCTATAAATTAAATTACCAAGAAATTTAATGTTAATTTTATAAAATTGAATGACCAAGGGTAAACTTGGTAAGTCATAAGAGAATAAGTCATCACAGCACACACTTTTTTACTTGTCAATAATGGCATAGATAATAGGGGTAGTTTGTGAAACTCATATATAAACTATTGGAGTATGCAATGATATTTCAAAAACTAAGAGGGTGTCAGTGAAATTTGCTCCCTTTTTTTTTTTTATTATTATTACAATCTGGGTGTTTCTTGAGTTTCAACATTGTAATGTTTCCTCAAGTTATGTTTAATGAAAATATACGTTTACATTATTACTGTCATTCAATTAAATGTTACCAAAAAGATGAAGCGAATCTCACATGGTATCACCATCGAACTAAAAATTATCGAACAATATTTACCCAAGAAGGGATACTTTTATATGAGTTGTTGTAGTTGATCCAAATGTAATCAGCCAACTCAGATTGACAGCTTACAGTGTGATTAAGGGTGCATTGGGTCTGGTATTGGTCTGCTGAGAGTGAGTGTCTGTGTCTATCATCCCTCTCTCTTTATACTTGTCCTAACTGATGTTTCTGAACTTGCTGTATGCAGGTACCAGATGTTTATGGATTGCACATTATGGAAACCATGCAACATGGAGAGAAGGATTTGAGAGCAGAACGCACCCTCAAGGACCAGTTTTTGACTTCTGAAATGCATCGTGGATTGGTTAAAAAATCAAATAACAATTCTCTTAAGTTTTTTTTTGCTATGTGGACATTCGTATGGAACTGAGTTTCTGCTACCACTCCCTCCCTCTTAAATATTGAATATACCGGTGATATCATGTCAATATTACTGACATGGTACTGTCTCTGTCTCTCTCTCTTTCTCGGTGACCCAGCTCCAATAAGCTATACACCAGTCCAGCGGTTCCTACTTATAAATAATTCTAATTTTATGGCCAGAAAATCCTTATAAGAAAAATAAACAACCCAGTTTGTTTCAATAGGTATATAGATCAAATCCGCTACTTTATACTTCTCTTCACTAATATATGTCTGCAAATTTTGATTTTATTATTAATTAAACAAATTTTAGTAGATTTTATGTTGGAAATTGATTTTTTGGATTAAAGTTTCAGAATTCAAGTTTAAGTAATTGTCACTGACAAATGAGCTTATTTTTTGACTCGAATCCGACTCAAATGCTCATAAGTTTTATCAAGCCATGCTTGAACAAAATTCTAAAATCAACAATTGAACTCCACTAATCACAATTAAACTAAAGTTGGACGTACTCAAACTCACACAACACAACCAACCACAAAATCATGATTATGAAGTATATTAATCTAAACAATATGCAATTCATACACAATAAAATGAAAAGAAAATAATAATAATAATGCCCATAATATTTATATTAAAACCTCAACACCTGTTCACTATTCTCAATCTCCCAGAATTTCTTCCCTCTGCAACCAAAGCTGCACGAGCTGACACTAAGTTGTTATTCCCTAGTGAAGCATCAAAGACAGTGCAGTCTATCCAATCCTTCAACAGCTCCTCTTGGCCCCACATCTCAGGGATCCAAACCCGACCAGCCACCTCAACCCGATGTCTCTTCAGTCTCTCTCTTCCACTTTCCTCCACCAATGTCTCAGTCCTAATGGGTGATGAAGAACCATTAGCTTCTTCTTCTTCTTTGGGTTGCTTTGCCTTTGAAGATGAGCTCTGTGAGTCTTTTTGATAACTGTTAAGCTCTGAAGATGGCCTCTTTGATTCAATCTGATGAGTCTGTTTGAATTCTGATGAAACTTGGTGTTGACAGTCATTGCTAGTTGCCATGGATGAGAAGTGGGTATGCTTTAGAATTTCTTTTTGTCTGATATATTTTCAAATTCCTTGTGGTGTTTGAAGATTTACATGGAGCTTTATTGCGGAGCAAAGCAAATGAGTGGGTTTCTTTTTTACTTAAATTACACTTTATCCCCTAAATTATTATCTTTATTTTACTTTGTACCATTAACTATAAAATTTTTTACATTATACCCTAAAGTATTAATTTTATTTTATATCATTCTAATAAATAACGGCAAACTTAAAAATATATCGAAGGAGGGAGGGAAACCCTAAAGAGTTTCTCGTCAAATGCCTACAACCACTTTATTTTACCTCTTTTACAACCAAATAGTAGACCAGAGATAGAAAATTTAGAGTTTAGAAAGGGTAAGTCATGAATGCGTTTTCTTTCTTGATTTTTGATCTACACATGTACAATAGGTAGTAATTTATTAATAGTACAGACCACTCACATGTATATTTACCTTCAAAAAAATGACAACAGTTATCTATTTGAGTGATATGAAATAAAATTAATATTTTAGGGATAATGTATAAAATTTTATAGTTGAGGGTATAAAATAAAATAAAAGTAATAGTTTTGTATGGTCAGTGAAAGTGTACGTGTCTTGTCTGAGATTGGATTCCAAATTGTGTGGTTTAGTTCAAGCTTCATAATCACCCAACAGAGACTGAGAGAGAGAGAGAGAGAGAGGGACATTCCTTGGAAGGATATTTGGAGGATTGTGAGGTTGCTTTTGAATCTTTGGAGTCGTTTAGATTTTAGCTTGCGGCCAATGAGGATGGAGAATTTGGTAGGAGAAGGGTACAATTGGGACTTTTTAAGACAGTAATGTTAGATTGATCAAATTTGAAGTCTAAATGACATGACAGTTGACTTGAACTTCTTTGATTTGTGTCATGTTATTTGAATTCCAAATTTAGTCTTAAATTTTGATCAGTCTAACATTACTCTTTTTAAGATGATATTTATAAGCTGTTGTTTTTATCATTTAATAAAGATGGTGGTGTTGAGGAGATATTTTGTGTTGTAAACATCAAGGACTCTTACCACTAATTAACAATGGCTCATACCCATACTTGATTCAAAAATAAAATCTCATGCCTCTCACTCCACTTCTTTCTATGGCCATAAATAATTTTCTCCTCCTCTTTCTTTTTCTGTCTCCATTTTTATATTAACTAACAAAAGAGACAATAAACAATTAGTCAGTTTGGAGCTGATTTTTTTAGATAAAAATTTGTGATTTGAAAAATTTTGTAAAAAATTCAGCGGTAAAAAAATTCCCTAAAATCATTTAGGGTGTTCTTTAAAAAATTAAAAAAATATATATTAAAAAATTCATTTAGAGTGACTATTTAATTTTTTTGTGCCAAAATAAAAAAATAATTATATGTATGTATAGATTATGCATAATTTTTTTTATGTCAGTAATAATATTTTATGAATATAATAAATTAAAAAGTTATGTAAGATCCGCGATAAAACCTTTAAAAGTCGGAAGAAAAACCCATAAACTCAACTTCTTGAATTAACATAAATAAACTATTTTGGGTAGAAATAGATGTTGCATAAACTAGTCCAAAAACTAAGGTCCAAACAAATCCAATTTATTTTACTCCAACACCCATAAAATCAACTTATTTCAATTATCGCCAAACAAGCCTAATGACCAAATAATGCAACAATGATATAGTGCACAAAATTTAAATTTTTAAATGAGTACACGTGAGATCACAATTATAATCATATTAATATTTTTGAGATCACAATTTCCCTTAATTTCACTCACCAAAACACCATTATACAGTGTGTGTAGGCCTTCTCCTCATGTAGGTCCCGCCATCAAAAGTGGGCCCTAATGAATTTGTTTGTTCATACATGAATGGGTTATATACAAATTGGCCCCATGTTTTGGTAGCAATCAACAAAAAGCTTCATATTTGGAACATACATTGAACCTTCTAGGAGCCGTTTGCTGCACTCTGTATTATTATCATCTTTTTGTCACCGGTGGCCTTTGTATTAGGAGAAAATATTAAATGGAACTGTCACATCACATTATTAATATTATATAGTATAATTAATCAATAATAAAATATCAGGTCGATTTAGTGAGTTGTACTATTTTAAGAGTACAACTCAGAACGACCTGTCAAGATTCGAACTCAGAACGTCTAAGTTTATAGTTTGTCTCTATTACTACTTGAGGTACCCCTCTCGGTTAATTAGAGTAATGCTATTAGGGTTTAAAAATCTGACAATAACATGGTTTAATAGTGTTATTGTGACAGTAACTTTTAGACTTCTTTATGGAAATGTGTTATTAGTCAAGTTAATGCCAGAAGAATAAAATTTGTTGTCAATAGGTCTATACCAAGTAAATAGCTCTCTTTCACTATAAGAAGCTAACAGAATCATAAGCATTAAAAAACTCAAATACCCAACTCATCCACACACTGAAATATATTGAATAAAAATTAAATACTCAAAAAGCTGTATTCAGATCATAAATTAAAAAAAAAAAAAAAAAACACACACACACACATTAGATCTTAATTGTTTGTGTTCTGACGACACATTGACAGTACTCTCTTTTCCATCAAATTTTTTTTGTTGTTCGTGTTGTATGAGATTTTCATTTTCCGAAAAAGAGAGAAAAACATTGGATAAAATTATAATGATACTGAAAGAGATTTTCATTTTCCGAAAAGTGTATTGAAAGAGATTTGAGGCCGGTTAAGCGGGTCATAAAAATTTATAATGATACTGCACATACTGATAGAAGAAGAGCCAAATGCTTGAAATTGAGGCCACACACCACCTTCTGTGAGGAATATCTGCATTTACATTGTACACTGAGGAAAAACCATTTGAATCACTTGCTAGGTTTTCAAAGACATCTTTTTCTTTTTGTACAAGAATTGTGAAAAAGGTTAGAACAATAAATAGAAAAGGTTTCTCGTTGAGGGATGGATCCTGGATTTAGACTTATGGGTAGACCTATCAATTGTGTCGGGTGAAACGGATACGTGTCGAGTCTTAACGGGTTCAAGTCGAAAAACACTACACTCATACTCGATTCGTTTATTAATTTATGTCTAACGAATCTTGTCATATGAGATTTGTGTGGTGTATGAACAATTTTTTAAATAGTATATAAATAAGTCGTGTCATGTATTTCTTCTAATTGACTTCTTTCATACCTGATCCGTTTATTACTCGTGTCGTATCAGACCCACTCGTTTATTAAACAGGTGATTTAAAGAAGATTTAAACCCTTTAATTTCACGTTGTGTTAACAAATTGTATCATATTTTAACACATCTACTTATGATAACATTTTTTTTTAAAAAAGAATCGTATTACATCAGATTCGTGTCGTATATAAATTGTATATAAATAATATATAAACAAGTCGTATCATATATTTATTCGGAGTAGTTTCACTTATACCCAATTCATTTATTAATCGGGTTAAATTGAATCCACCCATTTACTAAACGAGTGTCTTAAAAAAGATCCAAATCCTCTAATTTCGTATTATATTAGCGGATCAGGTCATATTTTCACACTCTTAAGAAATAAATTAAAAATCAGGATATTTGGGTAAAAAAAAAGAGTAAAAAATGATTGTCTCTATCATCTCTTTTTCGACGGTAGACCCTGTATGTCCCCACTTAGATCAATCATTGGCTTTGTCATCTTTGTAATTTGGAGAATCTGTTACAGAGAATCCATAATGCAAACAAAATGCTTTCACTTTTTCTTCTTCTTCGTTTTCTTTCTCAAGTTGTTGCATACTGAGCAGTGCATTGACAAAAATTTTGAGACATCTGATCCCACTTTCCTTAACGTTATATGGTACAATCTGATGCTTGTGGAGTCAAGTCATGTGTCCTTTGTAATTTTATTCAACCCAACCATCTCTATAATGCGTGCAAATTAACAAATACAATTAAATGCAAAACCACCCAGTTTCATCCTAAAACTTACATTATAGTCACAAGTTTAAAAAGCACGTGATTTAGACGAGTCTCCATAAGGAGAGTGTACATACAGTGTTCTCCACTGCCACTGCCACCGCCAACGCCAACGCCAACGCCAACGCCAAAAGAATAATTTGGACCTTATGGTCTATCCAAGTGACAAAGTCCCTCAGCGTGACACCCTTAACTTCCCCCTCCCCTGTAATGTATTGTAGCACTGCTCAAAAAAAAAAAAAGACAGAATAATAATTGTGAAGGAGAGAGAGAGAGAGCATTGAAATATTCCCATATACACTGCTTTGCCCAGTTCAGTGAAATGGAGGCTTATGCAAGATCAGATAGGTTTGTCGGTTGTACACAAGGAGAGGATGGTTATTTTTGATAATAAAGGCCGAGTTTTTTTGTGATGCAGGCAGTTTCTGCTATGCTGTAGCACTCTGCTGTGCTGCAGTAAGTTGAGCAATTGTGTCTGCTATGTGGAGTTGTCTGTGCTGATATGGTGTGCTGTTATGAATGAACCTGATGCCTGGACGCAATGGAGCTGGATTGTTGCTGATATGATGGTTGGAGATGGTGGCTGTATATTGCAAGAGCTAAAACTGAAGATGTCAGACTAATTTTTTGTCTTTTCTCTTGTAAATAAAAATAGAAAATTTAGTTCTTGTAGCAGTTTTCTGCATTTTTGTACAAACAGAATGTTTCGGTTTTTGATTCATGTAATTTCTGATATTCATTCAATAAAATTCTTTCAAAAAAGAAAAATGGAGAATTTTTTTCCGCATGAGTTCAACAAAGCTTCAAAAACAATACACTTGGTACCCGAGATTCGCCAAATATACATTTATAGCCTTGTTCTACTAGAATATCTAACCTATTTAAATGATCTGGATGAAACAAAAAGATGGTTATGAGTTTAACTAGGCCAATCAAAGAACAACATCGATGTAGTACTTTTTTTATTAGAGGCAAATGACTATATTCTCTCAGAGCTAAAAACCCCATTTGATGTATAAAAAAAATCATGTACATTGACAAACTTAAGGACCCTTAAAAAGATGAGATCAAGTGGAAGAATAAGAATATCGAAAGGGAAAAAGGCTATATTACAAGGGGAAAAATAGAGATCCGATTCAAGCTCTTGGATAGCGCAAGCGTCCTTTCTTCCTCAGGAACTCAGGGATCTCCACTGAACCACCTTCCATGAACGAAGGTCGCCTACTGGTTCCAAGGGTCACATCTCCCTGTCCTAGCTGACTTGCCTACATATTGACCACAAGCCCATAAGCAAAGGAAAACACAATCAGGGTGTGTTTGTGTGTATGTGAGAGAGAGAGAGAGGTCAAATCAATACCTGGAGGGTCCTTCCCTCACTTTCTTCTTGCCGTTTGAATCCAGTGGCAATTAGAGTAATACTAACCTGAATATGAAACAAATGTCAAGTCTTCAATTTAATCAAGCAGGCATGATCAAGTCAGACGCCTAAAAGTAGTTGAAATACTATCATTGGTGAAAAATGAGGCTTTGAAAAGGTGGACAAGCGCTCATATTCTGCCATTGTTGAAAACAATAAAACTAAAGAGAGCCTACTTACGAAAACATGTGATGAAGAAGCATACACAAGAAGAAATTCAACTTCATAAATTCATTCACAAGATCATACAAAATTTTATATGAGGTGTTATGCTATATACTTTGACCACTAGCCTGGTCTAGCTAAGATGTAAGTGTAGACAGGGAATATTGTATCCCTGCCATGTGATAACCACACAGATAGGTCCTTCCCGGGGACTTCAAGGAGGTTGAGGTTTGGTGCGTGAAGAGGGAGTTTTAGCCTTGAAAATATGTCATGCGGATCCCCTGTATTACTGTGTCAAGCACGTGCTCGGACCACCATAAGGGTTCCCACTGGATTCAGGATCCACGAACATCTTTCTCTGGCTTAAGGGTATAGAGACATTGGGACATCTATGTCAAGTTAAATAGATTGTGCAACAGACCTTGCGCAAGCACAATCGAGTTACCGCAGCAAGGGTCACGCAGTCGGTCTGGGTCTCACGGCAAGGATCCCACAGCCAGGGTCTTGTGACGTGGTTCCACGGTAAAGGTGCCTCTTGTAACTAGACCTGTGATTGTTGTACCTTGAGAGGCTATCCAAAGGGTGTTCCACTACCTAATTAATACTTGAAACACTTGACACCATTATATTGGCTTGAACCACATGCACCTAGGCCACAAATGTGTGGTTTTCCTCTATAAATACCCTAACATCCTCACAAGAAAGGAAATAGATGTACACACTACTTGGGATCTCTTTCCTTGGGCAGCCTGTTTTATTAAGCCCTAAGCCTTGGCGAGGCAGACTATCTCTCCCTCCTCTCTCTTCTCTTTCTGCTCTTCCTCCATCCTTCACACGCTTATCCTCAGTCCCTCCGACAGTGATGTGAATGAATCCGTGTAACTCCCCACCTAAGGTAAAAAGGATGGTTCGTGCACAACTTGTATGTAACAAGAAATTGCCTTTTTATAACACAATCGAAGGCAAAAACTAGAAAGAGCATGTACATTCTTTTTGCTCCACAATTAAAGAGTGCTGGAGAACTGAAAAATTACAAAGAAAAAATTTGAAACATCATTGGGCGATGTAAAAATGTGAAACATCATTCTTACCGGCTAAAACATAAATTTCTTACTTGATTGGGAAAGAAGTAGGAGAGATGAGAGAAATAGAATTACAAAGCTTGTAACAGAGGTGTATGGATTCAGCATGGAGTTCTCCATTAATGAAAAGATTGGATTTAACAGAAGGGAATTCAAGTAATTTGGATTTTCGCTTATGGAAGCGAACTCTCACAATCTGGGGAGGAGCCACACAACTCTTACCAGGGACAGCTGCCCCAATTCACTTTTTTGTTGCATAATGTAAGTTCAAATATATTTTCAAATTTTCCGCCTAATTTTTTTTTTTTTTGCTGCGTATCCAAATTTGCTTAATCATCTCTTACAGTCAAGTTAAATCTCTAAACTCTAACTAAATAAACTTAACTAATATTTAACCAGTCATATAAAATTATAGTTAGTAGAATCTATTTTGTAAGATCCATCCTAGAACCCTTTATTCTCTCTCCCTATATCTCACCCAATGGTTAATTGGAAAACATTGATAAAAACATATGTAACGATATTTTTGGATATTGGTAATGAGATTATTTTGCAATGTTTTCAAATACCAAACTAGTCAGGGTTGTAAATGAATTGAATAAAAGAATTAGCAATCAATTTTTAAATTATCGTTCGGTAATTCTTTTTTAAGTGAAAAGTAACTTCGTCATAAAGGAAAATTTGTATTTGATCACTATATAATATAGTCATCAATATGGATATTAGTATATTGATAATGCACTTGTATATGTGCATATTTATACTAATATAGATGCAATGAAGCTTGTAAGAATATAGTAAGTCCAGATAAGGGGAAAAAATAAATGATACTACAAAAATATTTAAAAAAAGAAAAAAAGTAATAAAGTACTTAAAGTGTTACCAAATGGTACCTAAGTTTTTGTATTTCTTTTTAGTTCTATTTTTCATGTTATTATTGTTAGAATTTGCCCCCACTACGATATCTTTCTAGCTCTGCCCCTGCTCACAATAATCCGCATCCAAGGGATGTAGGCTTCAGATTTTTCTAATAAAGGGTTGCAAAACTGTGCAGACTGGGTCTGTTATACAGTCAGGTAGTCATGTGCACAAAACACTTCTGAATATCTATCTTCTTTAATTTCCCTGTCCATCTGAAATGTTCAGTTCCTTAGGATGAGAGGGCTTGACATCTTAATTAGGTTAATTCTTACATCAGCTAACAGTGGGATATCATCATGACTCCAAAAAATCCATAGAGACTACATCCTATATTCATGCAAACATTATGTCCAAGAAACTGGCAAGAAAGAAGAGATTAGATTGCTTGCAATCAACTCTATAACGCATCCATGTGACCTACTGAAATATGGTCGCAGCTACCAAGTATGAAGACAAAAAATAACCCTGCTTATTAAATAAGATTAGGTTTTGAGGATCTTAGTGCACTTGAAGAGTGTCTTCTATTTTAAACAATAGCACACCAACAATAATTTAGAAAAAATTTCTCCTCCACATCCTTTTGAATCTTTGATTGAAACCTCATTATATAATATTTCTTTGTCTCAAAAAATGTTCAACATTCTAATAAATCTCCTATGAACAGTTATTATGACTGTTTTTTACAATTGCTAGTAATGCATTACGCGAGTGGCACGTAAATAATTTTCATACATAAAAAATTAATAAAAAAAAATCAAGTATATGGGTGCCGAAATTAAATATCATCTCAAGTTTACCAAACTTATTTTTTTTATTGCTCAAATTGTATTATAGAATTATGAAAACTTTATCTGTCCCAATGATTCATTGGTTGAACTATAAGAAAATTGATAAAAAATAATAATAATTAAAGTTCAATTTTTTAGAATTTTGAGATTGAGACTAATTTTTTAGTGATGTTTGAAAATTTAATTTTTTTTAAATTCATTTGACTAGAATTTTATTTATAATTCATTGATTAAAATAAAAATAATTATTAATATTCTAATTATATTGGAACCTTACTATAATTAAGATTTTTTAGGTCAATTAGAATAAATTATACTGTTGATTATAACGATTGATATATTTTTTAACAGTAATACAGTCAATTTAAAAATTTTATAGATACTAATATTTATACATAGAGAATAGATAATTAGAACATATATTAGAGGATAATTTAGAGATTTAAATTTTAAACACATAAGGAAATGATGATAATTTAGATATTTAAATATGCAAGGATAGAATGACCTTTATAATTCTTTATAAGGATAAAATAGTGAATCAAAATTTTTTTATGTAAAGATATTTTTATTAGTAACTAGCAATACACCAAGTGCGTTGCACGTAAATTTTTTGTATACAAAAATTAATAAAATATATTATATATATGTGTATTTGAATTAAATATAATCTCAAATTTACCAAACTTAATTTTTCATTACTCATATTCTATTATAAGGTTATGAAAACTTTGTATGTTCCCAAAATTCGTTGTTCTAACTATAAGAAAAAAAGATATAAAAAAACAAAAAGAAATAATTGAAGTTCAATTTTTTTAAAATTTTGTGATCGAGAGTAATTTTTTAGTGATGTTTGAGAAATTAAATTTTTTGAAATTCATTAGATTAAAATTTTACTTATAATTCCTTGAATAAAATAAAATTAATTGTCAATATACTAATCATATTAGAACCTTACTATAATTAAGAATTAGTTAAATCAATTGGGATAAGATTTAATATGCTACTCTTTAATATATGTTACAAAGCATATTAAAATTCTAAAAAATTCAATCTCACTTAAAAATACACTACAATCTATTTTCACATAAATCTTAATACAGTTTAAAAGTTTATTGTGACTGAAGAATTATATTGATGTAACATAAATTGATTTAAAAAAATTATATATAAGATCGTATTTTATCTTAAAGATAAAAGGGTTAAACCTTTCGATGAAAAATGAAATACACCTATGTAAGCATAATATTATTTTTGCATATGAGATGAGTAATATTAAATTGATAGAGTTTTTGAAATTTTTTTGAACACTTTATTAAAAATATAATTATGCATATATTTTTTAAAGGTAATATAGTCAATTAATAAGTTTCATAGAAACTGATTATTTATACGTACAAAATAGATAATTAAAAGAGATGTTAAAGGTAATTTGGGGATTTAAATATATAAAGATATGATGATAATTTAGATATATAATTGTGAAAAGATATAGTGATCTTTACAATTCTTTATAAGGGTAAAAGAGAAAATCAAAAAAATTTCATGTTAAAGTTCTTTTATTAATAGTATTGATATTGATATAGATAGATGCTTACTAATAGATTTCTACATATCACCATTTCAAGGGTTTTGGAGTATAATCCAAAATTTAAAGAAAAATATATATAACGAACACATTCCACAAGTATCTAAAAGGCATCTACGACTCTACGTGCTCAACTGGTCTTGTCTAATATCTAGTTGACACTAATACAATTTCTCTACCAAGTAGTATTAGGACCACTAAAGGCACATCACTAGCACAACAGTCTATCTGACCAATTCATACGGGTAAACAATTAAACAAAGAAATCTCAAGTTCTATAGGTCGACAAAAGTAGTTGGGAGTACCAATTTGGTCAGTTGGGTCAGGGAGCTTGTCTAAATTAGGGATGCAACTTAGGCGGGTTAACTAGATTTCAACCCGAGCCCAACCCGAAAAAATTAGAGCTTGGGTTAGGATTTTTAATACTTGGGTTGGACTTGAGTCAAAAAACCTCAACCCGAATTCAATTTGGGCAAGCTTCGAGTTGAGCCATCGGGTTCACGGGTTGAACCCCGTAGGTGGGGAGTTAAAAGAGGTTGACACACGTATGGATAAGTGAGTAGGATGGGTGGGTTGGAAGGAACTCAAGCAGCTTGTTAA